GGGAAGTACCACTTACACACTTGCAGTTTGCAGATGACACAATCCTATTTTGTGAGGGTGGGGATATAAGATGGATCAAAAACCTAAAACTGACAATACAATTCTTTGAGCAAATGTCTAATCTTAAAGTGAACTTCGATAAGAGTTGTGTGGTGGGAGTGAATTTGGAGGAAAGGGGAGTAAGTGATTGTGCAGGTGCGTTAGGGTGTGCTATCTTGGAGTGGCCTATCACTTATTTGGGCCTCCCCCTAGGAGATAACCCCAAGAATGAAAGCTTTTGGAACCCGGTAGTAGAGAGATTTGAGAAAAGGTTTGCTTCTTGGAGGAAAAATTATCTTTCTCTTGGGGGGAGAATCACCTTGATTAGGTCTACCTTTTCCAACCTTCCTGTTTACTTCATGTCAGTGTTCAAGATTCCTACAAAGGTCTCCAACAGGRTRGAAAAATTAATGAGGGATTTTTTATGGGAACCAGGAGTGGAGAAGAAAGACCATAGGGTGAGGTGGGAAGTGGTAAATAGGAGCAAGAAGCTAGGGGGGCTTGGGATTGGGAATATCAGGAAAAGGAACATGGCATTATTGGGGAAATGGTTGTGGAGATTCCCGTTGGAAAGGGACAAATTGTGGATGAAGGTTGTGGCTAGCATACATGGGTTGGATGAGCCGCATCCTTGTGGAAAGCCATTCATGATCTGCTTCCAGTTTTCTCCCCTTGGATCAAGTACGATTTGAACTCCGGTAATCAAATAAAATTCTAGGAGCAAATTTGGGTTGGGGACCTACCCCCGAAAGATCAATTTCCATCATTGTTTGCTTTGTCAGATTTGAAAAATGAACGCATTTCCTCCTTAGTTCCTTTTGATTCTTCTTCTAGGTTTGGGTGGAATCTGGGGTTGAGAAGGGCAATAAGGGATACAGATTTGGGGTGTATGTCATCTTTGCTAACCATCCTTGAAAATGTTTTCTTGAACCCCAATAAGGGAGACACCAGAATCTGGACCCTTTCTTCATCTGGCTCTTTCTCTTGTGCTTCGTTTTTTGAGACATTAGTCCAACCTACTACTCCGCTTGGGCTGTCATTTCTTGTTAAAGAGATTTGGAGCAAACCCATTCCTCCTCGAGTTGGTAGTTTTTGTTGGGAAATTTTCCTAGAAAGAGTTAACATAAACAACTTGCTTCAAAGAAAGAGGCCCAATTGCTGTTTACTTCCCAATAGGTGTATTCTTTGCAAAGTTGATGGGGAAACGGGTTATCATATTATGGTTACTTGTCCAGTTACTAAGACTGTTTGGGAGTGGGTGTTTTCCCTTTTTGGGTATTACTTGGAACCCCCCGTGAGTGTGCAATGCTTGTTCTCTCATTTCTTTAGATGGCCTAAGAAAAGGGGGAAGATTATGTGGAGAAGCATTAGGGCTGCAGTGTGCTGGTCAATATAGGAAGAAATAAATTCACGAATTTTTCAGATAAGGAAAGAACAGAAAACCTAATAGATTTGATACTTTCAATGGTTGCTCATTTGCTGAAATCAATGGAGATATTCTCTGAATTCTCTATGGCAGACTTGCTGAGAAAGTGGAAAGAGGTTGCTACTGCTGCTATGTATAAAAGGAACTGTAGTCCCACTTGGACCCCCCCTCCCGCCGGATTCATAAAACTGAATTTTGATGGATGTAGCTTAAGGAATTCGGGGCCTTCTGGGAT